ATCTCTGTTCTATTGATGAGAGATTACTAATATTCTGTTACAATACAGTGTTGCCCTCTGTTTCATCTTACTGTTTTTTCATAACCTCTCTTCAAACTTTTTGGGTCTTCATTAATACTTTTTCTTTTTATGCTGCCTTTTTTTAAAAAGTTTGATAGCTGCATTGATAGCCTCTTAGGTCTTTGACTTCTTTCATTTTAATGACTCTCTTATGTCTACTTGTGATACAGTAGGCTTTGATGAACTGGGAATTGTTGTACCTATAAGAACTTGAACCCATTGGAACTCTTAATGTTTTTTATAATAATCTCTCCAATTATTCATCAACTCTTCTTCCGTTCAATTCATAGTTACCAGACACTATGATAGGTCCTAGAAATTCTAATTCTTCCCCATTGTTTCATTCTATAAACATGGAAACTATTCATTTTATACTTTGTTGAATAGCAGAATTGGCAGCCATGGCCCACAGACCAAATCTGGTCTCATTTGGTTGTTGGGTGTTTTTTTTTTTTCCTTATTTATTATTTTTTTAGAGAAAGATTTTTTTGCTATAGGGCACGTGCGCTCACTGGAGAGACAGAGAGAGACAATGATAAATCACCCCCAAGGAAGGATGGCCACACCACAATTCTTTCACATCTATTCTTCTCTCAGGATTTCGTGCATACATACCTGGCATGAGTTTTAAGCTGCCAGGTCTGGGACTCGAACTGTGGTCAACTGCATGGGAGTCCAGCAACGTAACCATTACACTATCTACTGGTCCTGCTCATTTGTTTTTATAAATAAAATTTTATTGAAACATGGACATGCCTATTCCTTTATATGTTTTCTGCTTACTTTATGCTATAATGGCAGAATTGAGTAGTTGCAACAGAGACCATGTAGCTCACAAAGCAAACATATTTGTTATCTGACTCCTGTTGTATCCTTAAATTCATCCACTTCCACTTTATCATTTCCTTACATTCTCTGTCACTCCTCAAATACCACATTATTACAACTGCTTAATTAAAAATTATAGAAATCAACTCAAGCTAGATAAACTAACAAGGAAAATTACTACCGAGACATAGGCATGTCTTATAGAATATATGGGCAGGATTACAGCTGGACATCAGAAAAGGATTGAATCTTAGAAGTCAGGTGTTATTCTCTGTCTTACTTCAAGCTCTGCTATGATAAAATACCATAGTCTAGGTGGCTTAAACAATAGACATTTCTCTCATAGTTCTAGAGCCTAGAAAGTCTAGATCAAGGTGCTAGCAGACTCAGTTCCTGTTACGGGCCCTCTTTTTGGCTTGTTTAGCTGCCTTCTCACTGTATCTTCACATAGTGAAGTAAGAGAGAGCACTCTGGTCTTGTCCCACCATGGAGACCTGAGCTACATGACCTCATCTAAATATGTTTATCTCCCCAATGCCCACCTTTGACCCCAGGATGAGAAAATATGATATAAGGATGATATATGGTCACCATTAAATTTGCCAAACCCAGGATCATTATTTCAAGGCTGCTCTGTGTTAAAGCCTACACTTGTTTTCTTCACTTATCTATCCTATTGACCTATTTATGCCAGTATCATTGTTTTATTTACTCTAGTAATAAACATGTTGTCTCATAAAGCGAAGTGATTCTCCAGTATCCTTTTTAGGATGTATTTAACTACTTTGCATTTTTCTAGTTGAAATTTACATCCGCTAGGGTTTTTGAAATTGGTTCATGTGATTTTAATTGAATGTGATCAGCTTTATAGATTAGTTTGGGAAGAATTGAGATCCTTATAAAGTTGAATCTTTTTAACCATTCAGTTGATTGTTCAACTGTCCTTTCATCTTTTAGAAAAATTGTAAGGATTACTTTATGGATCTTGCACATTTCTTGTGATGTTTATTTTTTAAGTTTTTATGAATTTTGTTACTATTGTTAAGAGCATATTTTATTTTCAAATTATGTTAACTAATTTGCTTGGAAGCAGAACCAGTTTTTTTATCTCATTTTTGCTATTATATTTTCACTAGATTCTTTTAGGAATTTTAGGTAGACATTCATATCATCTTCAAAAAATGATAATTTTTGCCTTATTTCTTTGAGTAAAAACCCTCAGCATAATATCCTCTGGATAAGCATTATAAAGAAACTTTCCTTACAATAAGGAATTTATAATTAAATGGACGAGATAAACACATAACAAATAGTTTAAAAATACAGTGTAATGATAGCTACAATGGAGTTATAGGCTAAGGATGGTAAGAGAAAATAGAACACCTAAATCTATTTAGTGATTTAGGGCAAGTTTTATAAAGGACTTTTGCTTTGAACTGAATCATAAAGAGAAACCATGAGTTTGCCAGGTAAACAATGTTGAAAGACATGTAATAAATGGTATATCTGAAGACATGGCATGAAAAGATTATAACACAAGCAATTTGCCTAGAAAAAATATTATAGAATAGATAGGAAAGTGAGTTGAACACTAGAGACCATGTCAAGAAAAGTACTGAGTATTATTATGAAGAGTGATTTTTATCTTAAAGATAGTGGGAGGCAGCTGGATCTGTTAAGTGATGACATGCAGAGAGTTTCATTTTATAAAGCTCTTTCTGGATCAGTAAGGCAGATGTAATATGAGGGCAGCTTAAGCCATCATTAGATGGCTACATGATTTTGAGGGTGAAAAGAAAAGGTCAATGCTTGAGAGGAATATGATTTTTTTGACTGATTAACAGTAAGAAGAAAGACATCCAAGATGATTTCCTTCCTTGAGGTTTTGAAGTGCTCTCAAGGAATGATTATAGAAGTGGGGAGAGACATGAGAGCAGATATAATGACCATGTGAGCCCTTTGTGAGGCACCTAAAAGATATATCCAGTGGGTGGATATACAGAGTAAGGATGTAAACCTGGGTAATAATAACATAAAACAATTGACAAAAGAAATAAGTGAGAAAAATTAGAAAAGGCCAAAGAAATAGGGAGGGAATATATTACCATAGAAATCAAAAATAGGTAGTCAAAAAATAGGAGTGGTCAACAGTGTCAGATGCTATTGAATAAAATAAGGACTGAAAAATGTTCATTATATTTGAAAGTCATGGATGACTTAATGAGAAGTTCTCTAGATATTGGAAACAGAAACCAAAATTCGCAGTAGATTGCAGAAAAGATTGGGAATAGAAAGATATGACGTATAATAGTGACAATGTTAAGTTTTTTTTAAAGCTTGGCTTTCATGAGAAGGACTGCAAATTCAAGATAAAGTTGAATATATCTGTGTGGTAGTATGAAAATGTCAGTGGAGAGTGTAGGTTGAAGAAAGAAGAAAGAACGGTGATAATTGAATGACTGCCTGGAAGTGAGTGGAATCAGGAGGGTATGGATTAGCTTTAGATGAGAACAGAATATGTTATTGTATACTTAACATTTTTTAAAATCATATTATTTTCTTATTTTTACTCAACATTCATTCCCTTTGGTAGGGGATTTCATGGGGGTTTTTTTGTTGTTTTTTTTTGTTTGTTTTGTTTTGTTTTTTTTTTAAGAATTATTCACTTGGGAACCAACAGTTAGCGTAATGGCTATGTCACTGGACTCCCACATAGTCGACCGCGGTTCACATCCCGGACCCGGTGGCTTAGAACTCACGCCTGGGCGTGGGCGTGCGTGCCCAAGATCCCGAGAGGAGAATGGAGGAGAAGGGATTGCGGTGTGACCATCCCCCCTGGGGGGTGATTTCTCGCTTTCTGTCTCTATGCCTCTCTCTGTCTGTCTGGTGAGCGCACGCACCCTATAGTGAAAACCTCTCAAAAAAAAAAAAAAAAGAAAATTATTCACTTATTTAATTTCAATTTGTTAATGTTATTTTTTAATTTGACCAGAGAGAGCAGATAGAGAGAGAAAGGGAAAGTGGGAAAGCAAGCTGCCAGGTCCAGTACTCAAACCACAGTTGGCCATGTGGGAATCCAGCGCCTTTAACCACCATGCCACCTGCCGGCCCCAGAGATTTCATGTTATATCTCTGAATCCTAGCTAATTACGTAGTGCCCAGAATGCTTTTGAAAGACAATGAGTAAATCTTGTTATTGAATAAATAGTTGTATCTCCTGGTTCTTTGTGTTTTATTCTTTTTAGCATCTTTTTTCTTTTAAGAGTTTTTTTCATTAGAGCGCATGTGCTACAGGGAGAGAGATAGACCCAGTGAGATGGAAAGTGAGAAATGGCCACCCCACAATCCCTTCTCTTCCATTCTCCTTCTGATATTATGGGCACGCAGGTACACATGTGCTGGCATGATTTTCAAGCCACTGGGCCCAGGACTCAAACCTCAGTTGGCCCCATGCGGGAGTCCAGCGATGTAACCACTATGCCATCTGCTGGTCCCTTAGCATCTTTTTATGTGTTTCTTTCAGTTATTTGGTCTACTCACACTCAAAACAATGCTTTGCCATACTTCTTTTATTGACTCTTCTGTTTTCTTTCCTTGTTATGATTTCTTTCCTAACAGATTGGTTAATTCTACCATGACTTGTTTTATTTCTTTATTTGCCCATCTTACCTTGTGCTATTTAGTGTTGATATGCCAGCCCTTGCTCTCAATTCTGTTTGCGTCTACCACCTCATGCTTTGTTTGAACACCCTTTACATACCCTTCTCCAAGAAAATGATTTAATTGTGTTAGATGACTAATATTAAATAATATTTGTAAAGACTATAAGCTTATAGTCTTCACTTTTTCATGTGTATTATGAAAAAAACATGTATGGATTTAAAAAATATTTTGCACCAAAATAAACCCATACTTTAATTCCATTTGTCCACAAATTTTTTGAACTACCCTTGTGTATAAATTTAAGTCTCACAACAATGCTGTAAGGTATAGTGAACTACATGTTATAGATATAGTAGATTAATTTATCTTGATAGCTTTATTCTTCTAATAGCTTCTCATTTCCATGAAAGAACTTGGCTAAGATGTTTGTTTTTTATTTATTATTCTAGATGTTTTGAACAGAGATAAAGATGAAGAGCCAACTGTGAAACAAGAAATGGAAGAAATTGAAGAAGAAGTGGAACCTCAGGGTGTAATAGTTAGAAGGATCAAAAGTGAAATTGACCAGGATCCCATGGGTAGAGAGACCTTTGAACTTGTTGGTAGGTTAGATAAACAGAGAGGAATTTTCTTATGGGAAATACCAAGAGAATCTTTGACCCAGGAACAGAAATCATTCAGAGGAAACACTAACATTATCCGTAAGAGACCAAACTCAGAAGAGAAATGCCATAAATGTGAAGAATGTGGAAAGGGTTTTGTTCGCAAGGCCCATTTTATTCAACATCAAAGGGTTCATACAGGTGAGAAACCTTTTCAATGCAATGAATGTGGGAAAAGTTTTAGTCGCAGTTCATTTGTTATTGAACATCAGAGAATTCACACTGGGGAAAGACCCTATGAATGTAATTACTGTGGAAAAACCTTTAGTGTGAGCTCAACCCTTATTAGACATCAAAGGATCCACACAGGAGAAAGACCCTATCAGTGTAATCAGTGTAAACAGAGCTTCAGCCAGAGAAGAAGCCTTGTTAAACATCAAAGGATTCACACAGGGGAGAAACCCCATAAATGTAGTGACTGTGGGAAAGCCTTCAGTTGGAAGTCACACCTTATTGAGCATCAGAGAACTCACACTGGTGAGAAACCCTATCACTGTACCAAATGTAAGAAAAGCTTTAGTCGAAATTCATTGCTTGTTGAACATCAGAGAATTCATACAGGGGAAAGACCCCATAAATGTGGTGAATGTGGAAAAGCCTTTAGATTAAGTACATACCTTATTCAACACCAGAAGATCCACACTGGTGAAAAGCCCTTTCTTTGTATTGAATGTGGAAAAAGCTTCAGTCGGAGCTCATTCCTCATTGAACATCAGAGGATCCATACTGGTGAAAGACCTTATCAGTGCAAAGAGTGTGGCAAAAGTTTCAGTCAACTTTGCAACCTTACTCGTCATCAGAGAATTCACACAGGAGACAAACCCCACAAATGTGAGGAATGTGGAAAAGCCTTTAGTAGAAGCTCAGGTCTTATTCAGCATCAGCGAATTCACACCAGGGAGAAGACTTGTTCATACAGTGAAACTAAGGAAAGCTTTGACCCAAATTGCAGTCTTATTATACAGCAAGAGGTCTACCCTAAGGAAAAATCTTATAAATGTGATGAATGTGGAAAAACTTTTAGTGTTAGTGCTCATCTTGTACAACATCAAAGAATCCACACTGGTGAAAAGCCCTACCTATGTACTGTTTGTGGGAAAAGCTTCAGTCGGAGCTCATTTCTTATCGAACATCAGAGAATTCACACTGGTGAGAGACCTTATTTGTGCAGACAGTGTGGTAAAAGCTTTAGTCAACTTTGTAATCTTATTCGACATCAAGGTGTTCACACAGGTAATAAACCCCATAAATGTGATGAATGTGGGAAGGCCTTTAGCCGGAACTCAGGACTTATTCAGCATCAGAGAATACACACAGGAGAGAAACCTTATAAATGTGAGAAGTGTGACAAAAGTTTCAGTCAACAACGCAGCCTTGTCAACCATCAGAAGATCCACACAGAGGTTAAAATCCAAGAAACCCATGAATGTGATGCTTGTGGCGAAGCCTTCAATTGCCGTATTTCTCTCATTCAGCATCAAAAACTGCACACTGCATGGATGCAGTAAATGTAGAGAAGTGTGTAAGCTCAATTTGATTTGAGACTAGCTACCCAAGTGCAGTTTTAGTATGGCTCAGCATGAGTCAGATTTAGTGATAAATACAGCAAATTCTCCTTGGCCTCAGACAAAGGGTTCCTAAGATTCTGTGAATAGTCAACAATTACCCATGGGCAATTGACTTTCATTACTCTTTGATTTGATGATGATAAAGAAAGACATGGTAATTTAAGCATCTTTTTTTAGTAAATCAGCAAAGAGGTTAAACCTGGGTTCAGAGCACATGGGAGGTACTCTGAAACAAAGTTGGATGAGGGCAAGGGCTCTGGAAGCAGGTTATATTAGAAACAAAATGACTCAGAGCCCTCTGCCACCATCTCATATGGTGGTTCTTTTAATTCTGTGATATATTTGGCTATGCACACCAAAGTTCAGTGCTTAAGCATATGTAAGTTGTCAAGGAAACAAAACCCAAATGTTTATGAAACCAGTATGCAAAGTTTTTGTCATTGTATACAATGTTTTTGAAATCAGAATACAAAGTTGTTTGTCATGTGAGTTAAAGGCAGTTCCAATGCCTGGGGGTTCCCAGAGCAATGAAATGAATGGACCATTAACTTTACATGTAATTATTATGTGAAGAATTAACAAACCTTTTAAAGGTGTTACCAGGAAACTTTGGGAGTGCCTTTTTTCTTTTGTTCCCCAAGCTGGGCCCAAAAAAGTGGACAAGGTCCTCATCTTTTGTGCTCTTCCATCTGTGAAAGCTATTTGTAATCATGTATAAATAAGTTTATTCTTCCACAACCAAGAGCATGTGAAAGTGTACATATTTTGATTACCAAGAATTGGAAATAAAAAGACCTGGAGTCTATGCTAGGAAACATATTTTTGGTATTGTTTTGGTTTTTATGCTAACTATGTTTTGCATGCAATTTTAAAATTCTTATTTCTGGTTCTAGGGCTTTCCTTAGTTAATAGATATAAAACTATTAATTCATCTGTTTTAATCATTAAAACCTAGGGTTTTTTGTTTTGTTTTGTGTAAACATTCTTTATTACTTCAGTGTAAAATATATTATTGTTGTTTTAAAATTGGAATCAAGGATTTGAAGGATATTGCTCTCATTTTGTCTGCCTATGACTCGTTAAACTTTTCTAGAGTAGTTCAACTAGGGTTAAGCCCAGGGTCTTTAGTTTCTGGGTATAGATTTCCAAATCACCAGAACTCTGTAGTTCTAACTTCTTAATAGTTTGAGTAAGTGATCTCTCATTCTCCAATATCCCTGACTTGCTAAAACTCACCTCATAAGATCCCCTCTTCTCAGGACCAGCAGTTGGCGTAATGGCTATGTTGCTGGACTCCCATGTAGTTGACCATGGTTCAAGTCCTGGACCCCGGTGACTTAAACTCATGCCAAGCATGTGTGCATGCGTGCCCAAGATCCCGAGAGGAGAATAGAGGAGAAGGGAGTATGGTGTGGCCATCCCCCTGGGGGGTGATTTCTCGCTTTCTATCTCTCTGTCTCTCTCTTTCTGGCAAGTGCACGTGCCCTATAGCAAAAACCTCTCCAAACAAAAAAAAAAAAGATTCCCTCTTATCTCTGGATATCGTGTGTGTGTGTGTGTGTGTGTGTGTGTGTGTGTGTGTGTGTCTGCATGTAAATGTGGAGTTATGGTATATGTATAGAAATATATCTATTTTTGTGTACCTCCTGTATTCAAATTAGGTACTCATAGTTACTATTGGATTGTTGCAAAAGTCATGAAGTATTTTTCTATGCAAAAATGTGTCATGACTTCCGATGACACAATATGTAGTTAACATTTCAAAACAGTTTGTAACCTAGTGAAAAGTACAAAAAATAACAAACTGCACTCTTTTCCTCAATAAAAGTTTCCCCCTGCCCTGGATCTGCCCATTTTTTAAAATTCTATAAATAGAATAATTTGCAGGTCAGGGTCTCAGCTAATAGGGATGTTAGACCTGTTCTCAGTTTTTTTGTTTTTTTTTTTTTTTCTGGAAAGATTTTTGCTGTTGGGTGCATGTACTCGATAGACAGAAAGCGAGAAATCATCCCCGACAGGGGATGGCCACTCTGCAATCTCTTCACCTCCATTTTCTTCTTGGGATCTTGGGCATGCATGCACATGTGCCTAGCGTGAGTTTTAAGTCACCAGGTCCAGGACTCAAACCTCAGTCAACTAGATGGGAGTCAGTGGTGTAACCATTACTCCCATCTGCTGGTCTCTGTTCTCAGTATTTTAAAAAACACTATAAAGTGTATGTTTTCACTGAAACACTAAAGCACATTTCTCTACTTTCTCTGGAATCACATCAGTGTCATATATGGTTATCTTACTTAGCTTGATCCCATTGTAATTTGGGGCCCTGATTGTATTAGAAATTCCTATTAGAATTACATAATTTTTTACCCTCTTTGGACATGAAACTGGGATGACAACTCAAAGCTCCTGCAGCATTAGACAATTCTTGACTATGTAACAATTCATTGCTTATTTTTTTAAAAAGCCAGCAAATTTTTTTTTCCAAACAAGTTTATTTCTGTTCAATTCTGTTTTCCAAGAAAATGATAGAAGTATGCAGAAGATTCTAGGGAGAGATTAAAGTGCCTAGAAGAAGAGGAAAAGGAAAAGTTAAGTTCTTCAAGAGGATGATGCTTAAAATGAAAAAAATGAGTTCGAAGGAAGACAAAGTGTCTGAAGACTGGGAATTCTGAAGGAACCTGATAGCTGCAAAGTAAACTCCTATCACTCTTTGACTTGGCATTGTGGCTTGGATAATACTATCTTAAGTAAGAGCAGATTAAGACAGTTGACCTGCCTAAAAATTTGGGTTAACTTTTTTTTTTTTTTTTTTTTGAGCGAGAGAGTTCTTTTCCCATAGGGCATGTGCACTCACTAGAAAGACAGACAGAGAGACAGAAAGTGAGAAATCACTTCCCAGGAGGTATGGTCACGCTGCCATCTCTTGGGATCTTGGGAACGCATGCACATGTGCCTGGTGTGTTTCAAGCCCCCTTTAAAATACTACACACAGCACATCCTGTGGTGCCTCCATTTTAACTCAAGGCAATGTGGAGGTCAACGGGAAGGACAAGATATTGTACCATGATTTTTTTTTTTAAGAATGATTTTTGTTTGATTTTATCTATTATTTTTAAATTTGACCAGAGACAGGGAAAGTGAGAAATCAAGCTGCCAGGTCCAGGACTCAAACCACAGTTGCCGTGTGCAAGTCCAATACCTTAAACACCGCACCACCTGCCGGCCCCTATGCCATGATTCTTGCCCTTTCTTAGATCTGTGGATCTTCTCTCAAGAAGTTGTACATGGGAAATGGTTTTTCAGGGACTCATGGATTTTAGAGACTCTTAATGTGGTTTTAAGAGATATGGCACTTCAGCTAAGTCAATAGGAATGGGAGGAGATGGATTTGAGAATTATTTACCAACATACTTGCATTTAGTTGGATAAGACAGGTAAAAGCAAAGATTCATAGTAGGTTTGAGGGTTGGTGTTCATCACTGAAACAAGAAGAAAATTTACACCTGGTATGCAGTGAGTAGATTAAGTTGACTTGATCTTGAAATGTTTGGCCTGTCCATGAGACCAGACGTGTTCAGAGGCAAGTGGAGATAGTAATATGGTGTGTAGGG